CTCTTCCATGGGCAAGTCTTGTCTTGTCATTTGGCTGCCCAGGTAAGGACTATGTTTCTCAGCTTCCTTTCTAGCAGGTGTGGCCATGTGACAAGGCTCTGGTCCCTGAGAGGCGCCCAGGCTCCACCCTTCCTCCATTGTTGCCATGGCTGCCAGACTGGGAGGATCGTGAGGGACCTGCCCTGTGCGTGAAACATCTGGGTGATTGTGACAGTGAGAGCTCTCTGTTGGAAGAAATGGCCTTAGTAGAAAGGGAGAGCCCTGGGAGATCACTGGGAGGTGTCAGCTTTTTCTGCTGCCGAACTAACCTAGACGTGCTGAGCCAGCTCTTTGCCAATATACCGAAAAGGGTCTTCTTTTCCAGATGGGCTTCCAGGGGCTTTTCCTTTAGCTGAATGATGTAAGTTTTGTTATTCCTGGTAGCATAGACACAGCTAGGTCAGAGCACAGTTCTGAAGGGTGGCCGCAAGTCACCCTGTTCAATGCTGACCCACGCCAACATGCGTGTGTGACACAGAGAGAGTGCTCGGTAGCACACCAGGATTTGGACTTTGCAACAAAGACCCTTCAGAATGATAGACATTAAGAAGTTTCTTACCGTAAAACACTGAGATGGTCATTGGAATAAGGATGAATATATTGCTGGGCACCTGGACAAATGCCACTGGGAAAAAAGATCTGAGGGACAGATATGTTCTCTGCCGTTTAGCTTGAGTGCAGATTTTACATCACGTTTGGTCTCCTCACATTATTAACCATTTTGGATTTTTCCATAATGAAAGTGAAAAATGTCTTAAAATTACTGTACTTGTTATAGATGCTGAAGAGACCCTCATACCCCATCACTTCATGCCAAGTCTGAAGTCTGGTAAACTGCCACTGCTTTGGTTTGGGCCTCACCATGTCTTGATGGATTGCTGCAATAATAGCCCCTCCCCCCTAACTAACTTCTTTCTTCTTCCTCTTCCCTGCCCCAGTCTATTCTCCACACCACTGAATTTTCTCTGAAATGCAAACCTGATCATGTTACTCTTCTCTATCTAACTCTTTATTAGTTATCTTTGCTTACAGGATAATTCAGAACAAGACCCAGCTGTATCTGCTTTTCCCTCTCTCAACATCTTTTTTTTTTTTTTAAAACAATCTGTGTGGGTAATTTCTTTTTATTTTTCAAACCCAGTTTGTCACATCCTCTGTGGTGCGCCTTTCGTTTCCCTGAGACAGCGATAATCACTCCCTCCTCTTTGCTACCTTGCCCATACCTCTGTTTTGTACCCATCACCCTGCACAATCCAGGATAATTAGTTATCTACAGAGCTATCTCCCTCCTTAAGGACCTAAAACAGTGGTCAGCAAACTCATTAGTCAACAGAGCCAAATATCAACAGTACAACGATTGAAATTTCTTTTGAGAGCCAAATTTTTGAAACTTAAACTATATAGGTAGGTACATTGTTATTAACTTAATTAGGGTACTCCTAAGGCTTAGGAAGAGTCACACTCAAGGGGCCAAAGAGTTGCATGTGGCTCGCAAGCTGCAGTTTGCCGACCACAGATCTAGAACCATGCTGGAGCATAGTAGAGCCTCAATAAATGTTTTGTTGAACTAAGCATAGTATTTTAGAATTAGTAGAATTCATTTGCAAACACAAATCAATGAATTAGTAAAACTTTTTTTGTCCGTATTTAGTCAACCTGGTGCATTGGGAACAGCATGTGGGAGTTGCTTTTGACATGCTGTGGTTCCCTGTCCCTATAGGCAGGGGAGGGGAATCCCTACTTGTGTTATGGATTGAATTGTGTTTCCCCAAAAGTGCATATGGTGAAGTCCTTAAAATGTGACTTTATTTGGAGACATAGCCTTTATAGAATTAATCAAGTTAAAATGAGGTCATTGGGGTGGTGTTATGGGCTGAATTGCGTATGCTGAAGCCCTAGCCCCCCAGTACCTCAGAATGTGACTGTATTTGGAGAAAGGGTCTTAAAAGAGGTGATTATGTTCAAATGAGGCCAGTAGGGTGGGCCCAAAGCCAATCGTACTAGTGTTCTTATAAGAAGAGGAATCTGGACACCCAAAGAGGGACCTGGGATGTGCATGTACAGAGGAAAGACCATGTGAAGACATAGCAAGAAAGTGGCTGTCTGGAAGCCAAGGAGAGGAAGGCCCTGGCCAGCAGCCGGAAGGCACCAATGGGCTCTGATCGCCATCCAGTCCTAGACACCCTACCTGTGCATGAATTTCATGCACCGGCCCTCTAGAGTCCTTATAAGAAGGGGAAATTAGAACAGAGATATGCATGGAGGGAAGACAATGTAAAGAGACATCAGAAGACAGCCCGCTATTAGCCCAGGAGGGAGCTTTGCAACAGATCCTTCCCTAACGGCCTCAGAAGGGATCAACTGTGCCAACACCTTGATCTTGGACTTGCAGCCTCCAGAACGGTGAGACCATACATTCCTACTGGTTAAGCCACCAGGTCGTGGTACAGTGTTACAGCAGCCCTAGCAAACTGATACACCTTCACCTCTGTAACCCTTATGAGCATTTCTTATTAATGTGCACACCAACTGAATCAGAATATCAACTCTAGAACGACCTTCCCCAGCTCACCCTTTGCATTTTACAGATGATAAAACAGAGCCCCAAGAAAGTGAAAGGGCGGCCCCGTGCAGAGTAGATCTCTAGGATTGAGCTGAGGTCCTGACAGGGCTTTTCCCATGGCGCCTTGCGTCTGCTTCCCCTGCCTCTCCACAGCTTCCAGGAACCTGCTTCAATACTCGATAAATCTGGTTCAGGCCGGTGCATACTTGGTCCTGAAACTAGCTTAGATGGATATGAGCAACTTGACGGTTTTTTTTTGGACTGTCCTGGGCCAAGTGCCCGAGTAAAAGCTCTAGGGCCTGCCAAGACTTTGGAATGCACTAAAATTCCTATTCAACCACATCGAGAAGCGTGACGAGAGTTCTTCCCCTTTTTTGAGATGGGCCAGAGAGGGCTGCTATGACCAGAGAGGGCTGTGCAGGGTTCAGAGCCGCTGCTTCCTCAGCCCCAAGGAAAAACGGCAACACATTTGCTGTGATTTATCAGGCATTGTAAGTGTGTGATTTCTTCCACTGGTGCCTGTGAGGGTTCCAGGGTCGGACAGCTCAGCTCTGTCACTTGCTCTGTGTGATCTTTTTATACTTTTATTCTCTCATCTGTAAGTTGGGGATACTGACACTACTTGGTTGCTGTGAGGATTAAGTAGGATGCTACATGACTGGCATATAGTAAACAATGAAGACTTGTCAGTTATGATTTCAGAGAAAGAATCTAAGTCTTGGTTAAGTGACTTACCTTTGTAAGCAAAAAGGGCAGGGTTGGATCTGGGACCTCTGGGGCCATGCCCTGTAAACTCTACTGTCTTGGTCCCACCGGCACATTCTGAATGACTGTGGCCAGGGAGAGGGGCCTGAACTGGGAGACAGCCTCTGAATGTCGTTGGTGGGCAAGCAGCGAGACATATGTCTAGGCGGGCAGATGACTGACTTGCCATGAATGGCTGGGGAGGCAACACCTGGTGGGTTCAGTTCACCAAGGAACCGGACTGGAGGCCAGGTGGGATTTTCCCAGCAGTTCATGTGGGAATACCCAGGTGAGTCTCTAACAGGAGATGCTATAATGAAGTGCATACACTGGCTGGCTTTCCCTGTCTCTCCATCCCTGGTCATTTGGAAATCCTTCCACGTAAACTCCAAACCTACTGTGGGAGGAGTCTCCTTGGAGATTCCCAGGGGATGCACAGAGGGCATCAGCAATGCCTTGCAAGGCCAGCACCCGGTTCTCTGTCCCCGAGACAGGGACACAACATATGTTGGTGAAAACAGTCAGTGCTTATCTTCTTTACAACTCCCAGTGCCTAGGTGGGCTTGCTTAATCAGCCCTCTGCTCCTTTCGAAAACAGAATAACGGTGCTTTTCCTTCTAGTGAAAGAGCAATCGGAAGATCTAGGTTTAGGTGCTGACTCTGCCATTTATAAGTTGAAGAAACTTGAGAAAGGTAGCTAAATACCGTGAGCTTCAAGTTCCTTGTCTGCAAAATGAGGATGATGCTGGCAAGGTTCTTGTGAGGATCAAAAGAGACCATGGCAAGTGCCTTTGCAATGATCCAGTGCTAGGCCATTTATCATTATTCCCACACTTCCCAGTCCAGGTCCTCAGAGAGCTGACTCTCTGAATCCTCTCACCCGCTATGGAATCTCCATTCAATTCCATGAAAATGGTCCTTCATTACATCCTGCTTTTTGTTATTGAGCAAATGTCTTATGTCTTATCTTTATAACACATTGCTGGAGAGTAGATCACATGTCATATGTATTCCCAATCTCCTACAGCCTAGGACCAGTGGTCGGCAAACTCATTAGTCAACAGAGCCAAATATCAACAGTACAACGATTGAAATTTCTTTTGAGAGCCAAATTTTTTAAACTTAAACTATATAGGTAGGTACATTGTTATTAACTTAACTAGGGTACTCCTAAGGCTTAGGAAGAGCCACACTCAAGGGGCCCAAGAGCATCATGTGGCTCGCAAGCCGCAGTTTGCTGACCACGGGCCTAGGTGATCAATAAGTACTTATTGACAGCATAGAACTGTCCCACCATTGGTGGAGCAGGGATGTGGGAGTCAGTACCTGCCACCCGCACCTCCTCACCCAGCCACCCCTGCTGACTGGAGCCAACGCGAGAGGAGAGAAGAAGGATTGTGACTTGGAGATCGGGCCTCTGGGTCTGCCTCCATCATTTCTCATTGGTTCCCTCAATTGTGAACTGAGTGTAATAATGCCACCCTTGTCATGATGGGCAGAGAGCACTCCCTGAATACACATGGGAGGCTTTTAGAAACTAGAGAGAAAATGTAGCGTTGCTACCCAGGTAAAGGCCGTGGCTATAGAAGCAGAGTGATTGGTCCAGGTGGGACTGAGCCCGTAGCATTAAGGTGGCACACTAGCCACTACTCACCTGAATAGGAATAGGAGCTGCAGCTGGACCACGGGGTGAAGGTCTGGGAACGGTTGCTGATGGGGTTGCTCACGGTGCAGGTGTAGTTATCGTCAGCGTGCTGGGGGCCGAGGGTGAGGTACAGAGGGTGGGAGCCATTTGCTGCACTCGGCAGGTGGGTGCCTGCCTCCGTGCTCCAGCCGTAAACCACATGGTCCCCCTTCTCCGCCATGCAGGCCAGCATCAAGCTGCAGTTCCCGTTCTCCAGGGTCCAGTTCAGCACTTTAATTTCTGGGGTGGAGACCTGCTCTGTCATGAGGGGAGAAAGGGAGTCATCACTGTCATGAGCCCCCTGAGATTCTGACTTGATCTTTTTATTAGAAGAAAATGCAGCCTTGTGTCATGTTCCCTCCCAATGGGTCTGCCAGTGTGACTTATTTCTAGCAGGGACCTACAGGTCTGCACCTCCCTCTCCCCACATGCTCCTTGCCTGGACCACCGTGGGATAAAATAGAGGAGAAAAAAAATTGTCTTTCAGTGGATCCCCTGGCCTTCCCTGATCTTCCTGATTTGGGTTGCTCTGTATTCTATCTGTGGAGTTTGCTGTTAATAAATGCCCCACAGGTTTAATTGTCATTGGCTAAAGTATCACCTCCAAGACCTAAAAGAATGACTTTTCATGGTAGAATTTGTGTGTGTGTGTGTGTGTGTGTGTGTGTGTGTGTGTGTCCAGTGCTTTAGAATGTCTGAAGTAGAGGCCTAATTGATCTATCTCACTTTAATGCTATGCAATCGGCAAGGGAAAGGAAAACGTTTTATTTATTAAAGGCAACTACTATAGGACAGGCACAATGCTGACATTTACATTCATCACATTCTTTAATCTTCCTAAACACTTTCTTAAAATTACAACCCTTGTTATACTTATTCCCATTTTACAGGCGAGGAAACTAAGTCCCAGGGAAGTGGAGTGCCTTTCTAATGTCACCCAGCTGATAGGCAGCCAAGCTGAGAGCTGAACCTCAGTCTGTCTGACTGAAAAATCCAGCCTCTTCCTTCGACTTGAGACTATCATGGCTGCAGAGACCATATTTTCCAAGGAAAGAATTTGATCACAAAATGTGACAAGATGTCACAAAGGCAGGGTGAGCTGTTCTGGAATATGCATGACGTATAGCCTCCACGCTCACAGCAGCCTGCGCCAGGACCACCATGCGACGGGTCAGGACTCCCTGGTACTTGCTGGAGGGCTGTAGGAATTCTGCGTACACTGTTTGGAGGAAAAGGAATTCTAGGGCAGGGAAAGGGTGGGGAGGGTATTTCTGTCTCTCCTGTAGGGACCTGAGGATTTCAAAGAAATGCTGAGGAGTAGGTGGAGCTTCCTGTCCCATCCTCAGAGACAAGGCAGCAGGACAGCCCACATGGTGGCAGCAGGACAGCCCACATGGTGGCAGCAGGACAGCCCACATGGTGGCAGCAGGACAGCCCACATGGTGGCAGCAGGACAGCCCACATGGTGGTAGGGCCCATGGGAATTCAAGGAAACTTCTGAGCCTGAGATACAAACTGGGTGCCTTCAAGAGGGGCTGGGATTAAAAAGGCTCAGTGAAGCTCTGGCCTCGGATTCAGATGAACCTAGGCCAGTGATGGCGACCCTTTTGAGCTCGGCGTGTCAGCATTTTGAAAAACCCTAACTTAACTCTGGTGCCGTGTCACATATAGAAATTTTTTGATATTTGCAACCATAGTAAAACACAGACTTATATTTTTGATATTTATTTTATATATTTAAATGCCATTTAACAAAGAAAAATCAACCAAAAAAATGAGTTCGCGTGTCACCTCTGACACGCGTGTCATAGGTTCGCCATCACTGATCTAGGTTCTAGTTCAATTCTGCAGTTAAGTGACTTTATAACCAGAGCTTTTGTTTAAATGAGAAAAAGTTGCCTCTTCCCCCAGGAAAATGCAATGCTTGGCCAGGGCACAGGGCTTGGAGGATGGTGCGTGGGCTGAGTTTCAGCTCTCCTCCTCCCACCACCCACACAGATGTGTGAAAGCTTGTACAAACCACTTCTCTGGATTTCAGTCCTCACCTATGAGAGGTGGAGCTTGATCAGTGCTGTTCAAACTTTTAAAAATCAGGGCGGGAAAAGCCACCTTTTTAAAAAAACAAAATCTTACTTGCAAATTGAGACTCTCAGGGCTCCAGGCCCCCTGGCCCGCAGGCAGCTGTGCTCTTTTCCCTTGGTGTGGGGGAGCACGGGACTTGGTTGGAAAGTCTGTAAGGAGGATTCTCGGAAAGGTCGGAGGCTTCTAGGGCAGTGGTTCTCAACCTTCCTAATGCCGCGACCCTTTCATACAGTTTCTCATGTTGTGGTGACCCCCAGCCATAAAATTATTTTTGTTGCTACTTCATAACTGTAATTTTGCTACTGTTATGAATTGTAATGTAAATATCTGATCTGCAGGATGTATTTTCATTGTTACAAATTGAACATAATTAAAGCATAGTGATTAATCACAAAAACAATATGTAATTATACATGTGTTTTGCGATGGTCTTAGGCAACCCCTGTGAAAGGGTCGTTTGACCCCCAAAGGGGTCTCAATCCACAGGTTGAGAACCGCTGCTCTAGGGGGACCTTGTCGAAGGTGGCAGACCCCGACTTGACTTTTCCAAACAAGTCTGAGCCCACGGGTGTTTTATTGGAATCTATGTTTAGACTTCAGACGTCCTTGCTTAAAGGACACTGCAGATGCATGTGTTCTCTCAAGGATGCTTACCCTGCTGACAGTATCTAGAAGTTAATTTCAGTTCAAGCTGTTGCTACAATAAAAGCCTAAGGAGTCAGGCAAACGGGGCTGTCTGGTTCCTTTAGCCAGACAGTCCCTTAGCCCTCTCTTTCACAGAAACATGTCAGAATAATCATTCATCTGTCACTCAGTGTCTGGTGGTCAGCCCCGGCACTTTGGGAAAGTGGGGTCAGGGTGACTATGCTAATCAGCTACCACCAATGTACAATTCGGACAAGGAAGATTTTTGAACCTAACACTTCCTTCTAAAGCACAGTTTAAACACCCCCAGACTAGGTGATCTTTCACGTGCTCCCTCTTCTGACTATTCTTTGCCTCTGAGAGAAGCCTTAGTTCTTAGGCAAGGGACCATGATGGCCCTCCAGTGTGGAGAAGCAACCATTCTTACCATAGAGCTTCAGCTGCAGGCAAAAGTGCTGGACTGAATTTGTTTCCTCCAGGGTCATAGTGTACCAGCCCTCATGCTCCTTTTTGCTTTCCAGGATCTCCAGGTTCAAGTTTTCCTGGTAAAACTCATAGCCATCTTCCAGGTAGCGTGAAGAGCCTTCTTCTGGCAGATCAAGAGACACGATTTTCTTACTGGACCTGTTTTCCGGTGATTTTGCCCACGTGATGAACATGTGGATACTCTTGTTCATACTCTTACTTATCCCTTCAGATATCAGGGGCAGCAGCACACTGCTTCCCAACTGCCCAAAGGTGATTGGGCAACCTGTGGGAGGAAGAAGAAGACAGTCCCTTATGATGGGGGCCTTTGAGAATCACATGGTGGTCAGGATCCCTGGGAATTCAAGGGAACCTCAGAACCTAAGAGGTACAAACTGGGTGCCTTCGAGAGGGGCTGGGATAAGAAAGGCTCAGTAAAGCACTGGATGGATTCAGAAGAACCTAGACTCTAGTTTAATTCTGCAGTGAAGTGACTTTATATCCGGCGCCTTTGTTTAAGTGAGAAAAATTGCCTCTACCCCCAGGAAGATACAACGCTATGCCAGGGTGTGGGGCTTGGCCAGTTGTGTGTGGGTCAGGAATGGCAGAGTAGGCTTTCCGGGCCTTACTGATCTATAAAGACTGTCAAGAGGGTCCTGCTGTATTTGTAATATTTCAGTGGAAATTTTAAAGTTACTTATTATAGAGCTGTATAAACTAACTAGGACACTGGGTTTCTTTGACCTGGGAGGGAATTCTATCAACTGAGATTTATAGTTAAGGCACCTAAGGCATAGAGAAGTTAAATGACTTCCTAAAAATCACATAACTGGTAACTGGACTAGAATCCAGGTCTGGTAATTCTTTCACCAGACTTCTCACCACTATGTACTCTGAAGGATGGATGTAGGGAGAGGCTATAGGATTAAGCCTCCTTGGACTGACCTGTGGCAGGGACACAAACAAGTCCCAGCCTGGAGGGCAGAGCTCTCCTAGCATAATTAAGCCTGACCTTGCAGCCCTCCCTAATTCTTTCCTAAGAAGCGAATAGGCTGTGGGAGGTGCAGCAAGTGTTGCCAAAACAAGAACATTTGTATACTTGTTAATGTTGTTGTAATCAGACTATAAAATAAAGCATCAGCTTGCAGGCTGGATCTCTCTGTGTCCTCATCCAGGCATGGAAGACCCTCCAAGCCCCAGTTGTATTCTCTTTGTCTGTCTTCTTTAAATCCTTCACCGCCCCTCCTCAGGTTCGCCCTTGTCCATGCTGGCATGGCACAGATGGAGAGCAACTGGAAGTGATTCTGAGCTCGTGAGCCCAGGAGACCAAGGTTACAAGAGTGTCATTTCAGACAATGGAAATGAGAAAAGTCTGAGGAAGGTGGAGTCAGGGAGGTTTTGAGCCCAGTGTTGAAACTGTGGTTTCCTAGCCCTCCCCAAACCCTCAAGATAGTTAATCATGTTGAGGGTAAGAAATTATTTTAATTTTCAAAAAAAAGTGGAGCGGTTCTGGCCAGTGTTGCTCAATTCCTAGTCAAAGGCATGTGCCTGAGTTTCAGGCTTGATTCCCGGCCTGGCCATTGCACATGTGGGGAGGCAACCAACTGATGTGTCTTTCTCACATTGATGCTTCTCTCTCCCCTCCCCTCTTCCACTTTCTCTTAAAAAAAAAAAAATCAATAAAAAAAATATTCTCATGTGAGGATTAACAACAACAAAAAGCAGAACCAACAACAGCTGTAAAAACCCCAAACCGTTCAAACCAATTTAAGGGATCCCACTGTTGACTATTTAACACATCTTCTCTCCTCAAACCCACAACCTCAGCTGACGACCCTGCTTCCGATTTCACTGAAGAATAGAAGAAATAAAAGAGAACTTCCATTAATTAGCAACACCAAGGTGGCCTACCTACCTGGATGGGTTGCCTATGCTCCCGGGGAAGGCTAGCTTCCTCCTTCATGGAGCATTCACCTACTTCAAGGCTTTGTTCCTACAATTGCCCCACCCCTCGCATTATGGGTTTTATTGTGATTTGATATGTGTGGGTTATTTCCATTAACACAACATACCAATATGTGATTTTATTAATCTTAAAAAAACCATCCCCTGATCCCAGGTCTCTCCCCAGCCATTTCCCCATTTCTCTATTTTTCATGATCACAAAGTCCTTTTAGGTGTGTATCTATTTTCTGTCTCCATTTCCTGACCCATTTTTTTTTTTCTTGTACCCACTCCGAACAGGCATTCTTCCCTCCTGCTTACTGGAATCACTCTTGTCAGGGTGGCTGTACATTCCATGACACCAGGTCACTTTTCCATCCCCCTCTTGCTGTCTCAGGAGCACCTGACACAGTACATAACTTCCTCATTGAAGCACTGTCTTTCCTTGGCCTCTGGAATACCACACTCTCCTGATTTTCTTTCCATTTTATTGGCTGCTCCTTCTCAGTCTTCTTGACTGGAACCTTCTGCTCTTAAAAACCTCTACGTATGGGAGCATCTCAGGACTCACATTCAGACCTCTTCTTTTTTCCCAGACACACTCATCCAGTCACACAGTTCAACATATTTCAGGAATGCTTAGAGATATCTCTCTCACCCTTCTCTGTACTCCTCAGTATTTAGAGGTCTACAGGCATCTCTAGCTTACCAAACGAACTTGATTCCAAAGCCCCTTCCTCAAACTACTTCACAATTCCCCGCACATTCTCAGGCAGAGATACCGGAATCATCCTTGACTCCTTTCTTCCTCGTACTCCACTTTCAGTCTAACAGCAATTCCTGTTGGCCGTGCCTTCAAAGTACGCGTGGCATCCCAGCTCTTCCAACCTCATTTGCTTCTACCGCCATCGTCATTGGCCTGGGCCCCGCCACTGTCTTCCTACCAATCTCCTACGTCCGTACGATGTCTGGGTAATCTTTTAAAACTATGTCCAATGTTGTTTCTACTGCTTTTCAACTTCCAGGGCTTTCTAGCACCCATTGAATAGAAATCCATAGTCCTTGTTCTGGCTTCAGAGACTCTGAATAACCCAGCTCCGGTACTGCTCCAACTCCATCTCCTTCCCTCTCTCTGCTGTGTGCTCTCTGCACTATGGACATCCTGACTCTGGCTCTTTCTTTACTCAAGAACATTTCTAGTTTGGAACTTTTGCATCTCTCTCTCTCTCTCTCTCTCTCTCTCTCTCTCTTTTTCTTTTATATATCTGGATAGCTCATTCCCTCACTTTATTTTAGGTTTCTGATAAAACATGATCTTTTCTGAGACATACTCTGACCTCCCTGTCTAAAATAGCATCCCCCATGCCCTAACCGGTGTTGCTCAGTGGATAGAGCGTTGGCCTGTGGACCGAGGGGTCCCGGGTTCGATTCCGGCCAAGGGCATGTACCTTGGTTGCGGGCACATCCCCAGTAGGGGGTGTGCAGGAGGCAGCTGATCGATGTTTCTCTCTCGTCGATGTTTCTAACTCTCTATCCCTCTCCCTTCCTCTCTGTAAAAAACCAATAAAATATATTTAAAAAAAATAAAAATAAATAAAATAGCATGCCCCCCACAAAATAAACAAAATAGCATCCCCCTTCTTGTTGTACTTATCACTGTTTTAAATATTGCTAATATGTCAACTTTGACAACAGAATGCTGTCCTTGTTGCCTAATTAATGTTAGATTGCATATTTGTTTATTTTATTTTTGTCTTTCCCACTAGGATGCAAACTCCTCAAGAGGAAGAATCTCATTGTGTTCATTGCTTTGTCCGAGGACCTACCACAGTGGTCGGCACACAATAGGTGTTTAATGAATGCCTGTTCAATTTATGAATGCCGAAAGCCATGTGATCTGACTGGAATTTCTCTTATTTAGCCTTGCCCAATAGATAACTGATCTCAATAACGTAACCATGCTAATGTTCATAAAAGAAGGAGCCCATGACTCAGAGAGAGAGCATAGATTGTTCTAGTTGATAAGAAAAGTCAGAAAAGAAAAATAAAACGGTTTGCTTAAGTGATGTAGCCATCTAGAAAAGACTCAATTAACTTGAGATTAAGATGGGTGGTTGGAAAATTGGACAAACTGGCCGAAATGCTCTTGATACCCATCTATCCTGAAATCCTAAAGCTGTGAGGGCCCGGATAACATCAGACTAGAGATTAGAGATTGAAGGGAGGGGAAGAGCAGGGGAAAGAGCATTCTACTTCGGCCAGCATCAGTATTAGAGTGGCTGAGACTCATACTTATTGAGGAAAAATGAGAAAGGTAGTTAGGCATTTGCTTTTTAAAAATATTGCTAGCATATTAACTCTGAAAACAGAATGTTCTCTTGTTGTTTAACTGAGGAATGCTGGTGAGGAAAGCTTGTTGTTAAGCTGAGGAATGCTGATGAGGAAAGCTGGTGTTGGTCTTGGTCTTTTTACAAAGATAATTTGTGAAGCATGTTGAAGCACCCTAATGAATGCCTGACCATCCAGATGACGTGGCAGGTACAGAACCCAAGAAAGTAACCTGTTGCATCCTGAACTTAAACTTCTTCATATAAAGGAAGGATAGAAAATTAGAACCATATGTGCAAGAAGAAATGTCCTGTGGAGTCCCCTGAAATTATGTACAAAATGTTGGGCAGATAAGCATGTGGACATTTTTCTGGGAACACATCCATAAATGTCATCTCTCAAAGGGGCCTGAACTTCAAAACAAGATTAAAGGTCACTCGCATACTGTCTATATGTTTAGACCAATTTGGACATGAGGAGGAAATAAATGAAAACGATTCCCCTTCTCACACCATAACCCTCCCCCACCCCATACGTCTCCCGTGTGCCCCTACCCCCACCAAACCCAACCCCCCCTGAACCACGGTCACAGTAAAAACTCAGAATTGATGGAGAGTGGGGAGGCGGGGACAAAGGATGAGAGAGAGAGTAGGAAAAAAAAATCAAGGAAAGGAAGTAGGAGGGGAAAGTGGAAAAGAAAAGAGGGGGCAGATGAGAAAAACAGGCTGAGTGGTTTGTGCTCACTCAGTCATGGGAAGTGGAATCAAAACTTGGGCAGGAAGAGACCCTCACAGCCCACAACCACAGAAGATTGATGAGGTAACAACTCTGTGTGTGTGAGTGACGGGGGGCCTTGAAATCCTCGCCACCTAAGCGTGAGTGGAAAACAAGTGGGGACTTTAAAGAGGGTGACACAGGCCTTCAGCGGAGTCCCCGCTCCCGAAGCTGCTGCCTGACGGGTGCTTTCCGGGGGGGCCTGTGATTCAGTCATTCCTGTTTACCAAGAGGGTCTGG